GGGAAATCTTTAGTGGATATTATCACATTTCTCATTGCAATCTTCTTTTTCATCTTCTAAGAGTGTGGTTTTATTTCGGGGCAATATGAGTAAAAATAATATCTTGCTTTAGCTTTTTGGTACCGTATGATATATACCTCAATATTTCTGCATTTTCCTGAAAATGGCCTTGAAGTTTTATTCGATTTACAGCCATATTTTAACCAAACAATCATTAAATCTGACCTTTTAGGATGAAAAATATGTTTAACCAAAAGGCTATGTTTTGTTATAGTGTCATCTTTGAGCTTGTAATACTTTCTGTACAGTAGTCATTAAATATAGAAACTATTGTCAAATTATAAAATGTTTTTTACTATTTTTCACTAAATGAATGAAAGGAAACAATATATTTAAGAACTTTATGGACCTGCACTATTTTAATGAAGGAATTCTTCTACAGTATATACAACAATGCATTAATATCATAAATAATAATAAACATTTTGTTTCTAATGATTACTCTAACTTTTAATGTATTTTAATTCTTTGAAAAAAGAAAATAAGCTAAATGAAAATTAGCCATGGTTTTCTAACATAACAATTCAATTCCTAATATTTCTAATATTATGTTATTACAAATCAATATTTGTACATATATGATTTACCATAACAATTCCATGAAATAATAAGCTAAGTGATTTAAATAATGTACATTACTAAAATGTAATGCTCTCATTTTCATGATACACAATAGATTTATTCAATTTTATATAGAGACTTGATGGCCAAAAAAAGTATCACAACAATTTTGACACTATTTTATAACAATTTGCACTATTACAGTCTTAAACCTGAACTAAAATCTGAACATCCTCATATACAACAAGAGCTTCTCTAAGCCCAGGGATTTCCATAGTTCCCATCCAGAGGTTCCCATATAGATTTAGGGTCTCAAAAGATTTAGTCGAAATAACTTGTACAAGCTGTTTAAGCTCAAAGCATGACATTGCAGCTTAAAGCATATACCCTAAAATATGTGAATACAAAACTATAATGTTTCATGTTTCCCATTGTTGCACTAGTTCCCAAATCCTTTGTGAGGGCAACTACATACACTCTTAAAAATGAAAGGTGCAAGAAAAAGCTACAAAAAGCAGCCCAGGCTTCTTAATGATACATACCCCCATACATTTCTGGAGATTACGAAATACATCCCAGGAGGTACTTTTTTGTTTTTGTGATTCCACTAGAGGCCGCTGTGTACGCTTTTTCAGATCTTAAATTTCTCTAGTGATAGACATTCACGCCTGTTGTTCTCATGTAAATCCACCAGAGGCTGCTGCCGACTGACTTACTGACTGACTGACTGACTGACTGACCGACCAATCCCCCAAGCCACACACTTCTCTAAACGCAACCAATAGTGTTTTTAGAAGCAATCCGGAAAAAGAAAAGCCCTTGTGGCAGCCTGATTTTTTCCCATGTTTTCAGATCTTACCACGTCATTAGCCTGTTATTTACTTGTTAAATTTTTGCCTTTTGTTTTTGTTTTTTCTGCTTTCTGGAAGCATTCTTCGCCAGACTTGAACCCCAGTGTCACAGTCAACTCCTCTCTGCATATTAAGTCCACTGACGTACATGTTGAGCTACTGGACAAGCTGGTAACAGTGGAAAAGCTGTCCACACTGAGGTAAGTGGTCAGCTGGTAGCGTGAAAGGAAAATTAAGCCATTGGTGACATCATACCACCCCGTAGCGTTTGTTTTAAAAACTAAATGCAGCCGTACGTGTATCTCTGGCTACATAATTCACACTCTCCAGAAATATATATGGGGGTACATTTTCACAATGAGTTTGTATTGACAAAATGTAGTTTTGGCAGTGATGCCATATAATAACATTTTTTACTTCACCAAATAACCTTTTAATGAAACGCTTTTTAAATTAAATGAAATTAATAACTGATTTTAACCTTTTGGTGTATGTACAGTTGAAGTCAGAATTATTAGCCCCCCTGAATTATTAGACCGCTTGTTTATTTTTTCCCCAATTTCTGTTTTAGGGAGAGAAGATTTTTTCAATACATTTCTAAACATAATAATTTTAATAACTCATTTCTAACAACTGATTTATTTTATCTTTGCCGTGATGACTGTAAATAATATTTTAAATGATATTTTTAAGACACTTCTATACAGCTTAGAGTGACATTTAAAGGCTTAACTAGGTTAATTAAGTTAACTAGGCAGGTTAGGGTAATTAGGCAAGTTATTGTATAACAGTGGTTTGTTCTGTAGACTATCGAGAAAAAATATAGCTTAAAGAGGCTAATAATTTTGTCCCTAAAATGGTTCATAAAAAATTAAAAACTGCTTTTATCCTAGCTGAAATAAAACAAATCAGACTTTCTCCAGAAGAAAAAATATTATCAGACATACTGTAAAAATGTCCTTGCTCTGTTAAACACCATTTGGGAAATATTTAAAAAAGAAGAAAAAAAATCGAAGGGGGCTAATAATTCTGACTTCAACTGTATATACTGAGACACCTTTTGGTGTCTCAATATTTCTGCATTTTCCTGAAAATGGCCTTAATAACTTTTTTTTTCACAGGAACTTTAATGTCAACTGAACAACCAATAAAATCCGACCATTAAGGATGAAAATTTTAAACCAATATTTACACTGAGTCATCCAGATATACAGTTGAAGTCAGAATTATTAGCCCTCCTGAATTATTAGGGCTGTATATTTTCCTTCCAATTTCTGTTTAATAGAAAGAAGTTTCTTTCCATTAAAACTAAATTGGGGAAAACTATTGCTTAAGGGGCTAATATTATTGACCTTAAAATGGTTTAAAAACTGCTTTTATTCTAAACAAATTTATTAAACAAAACAAACAAAATTTTTTCCAGAAGAAAAAAAATATTATAGGAAATACTGTGAAAAATCCATTGCTCAGGTAAACATCATTTGGGAAATATTTAAAAAAGGTAAATGAATAATCCACAGGAGAGCGAATAATTCTGACTTCAACTGTATGTTTAATATTTTCCATAGTTACTTTCCCTTTCTGAGGCCAACTATCAATACAGACACACTTTAAAAAGTAAGGTGCATGTAAAATCTACAAAAAGGTGTTTTCACAGTGATGCCTTACAAGAACCTTTAGTGAAAAAACATTATTTAGAACAATAATAACCTAAAGAACCATGTCCACAATTTATTAAATCAATTGTTAAAGGTTCCATTAATGTTAAAAGTCTTTACGTAACTATTGATGCCAGAAAAGAATCTTTATTTATTACAAATTCATCCGTGTCCATTCAAACAGAATTAGCACCTCTGATCTGTAGACAATCATGGAAAGTAGTTTTCTGTGGGACTCTGTTTATACAGTCTCAGGGGAAATTACCTCGTTTTGTTAATATATTGGCAACTGTTTTCCACACTGAGATGTACAGGGAGTCAATGTGTAAGGTTTCACATCTCTCTCCATGGACTTTTTGCTCTAACGAACATGCTCAATTATTCATATTCGGCCGGTACACCTGAGACAATAGTTATGAGCTCAAGGACAACGGTATAGCTATATCTCCCCAATGAGAACACACAAGTATACATGTTTCATTGTTTTCTATAAAGGCAGAGAGAAGATGGGAGAGAGACAGAAACAGATTTCTTGTCTCCTGATTACATAAGAAGCTTAAAGAACAATGGCTCCAAAATTTTAAAGCAATCTTTATGACTTCCAGAGCTGACCTCTGGATATCCTTCAGTTCTCTGAGAAAATATTAAGATGACAAAATGCAGAAGACTCAGGCCGTCAAGTTACTGACTTATGTTTAGAACAAAGCACTTAACACTAGTTTTTCAAAAGCTCTTTGGCTTGAAGATGTGAATGATTGCGGAAAGTGCACATTGTACCAGCATAAATAAAAGATAGTGTTTTTTAATGTGAGCTTTTTTCTGTGCTGATATTTATAATTATGTTTATAAATATACTGTACATTATTGTTGCATGGTATTATTTCAGAATATTCATTCATTCGTTTATATACTTGTTACATATAAGTAATATTACTAAAGTAAATATATATATTAATTTAAAAAGCTTTCAGGGTAACGTAATTTCCAAGTATACAGTGTAAAGTTATATATATATATATATATATATATATATATATATATATATATATATATATATATATATATATATATATATATATATATATATATATATATATAATATTTATTTATTGCATATATCAAATATATTTATTTTTTTTTTCAAATATTTAAATGTATTGTAATTGTAATTGTAAACTGTAATTTTATATGTAATTTAATAAAAACTTTTGCATCAATAATCATTTAATTCCACATCACATGACCCTAAAACCAAACTAAAAAGACACATGTGAAAAACATCACATTTTTATGAATATGAAAGATATTTTAGATAAGGGTTTTATGCAAAAGGTTTTATTAAATAAAGTATATAATAAATTATTAATTGTAAAAAAAAAACATTTTTGCTCAGTATAATATTGAATACTTAATATTAATGGTTTTAATGTTAAATACAACTATTAAATGGCATATAAAATGATACAAAAAGTAAGCATGTATGTATATATAATGTTAATGAGAGAATATTAAAGTATATTCCATTCAAACTGTACTGTTCTATATTTTACGTCATTGAGTTGCTTGCAAATCGCTTCAAAAATGGCATTATTCAAAGACAAGTATTTTAAAAATGACTTTAAATAAATATATTTAATTAATGTTAAATATTATTATCAACTACATTTTTATTATTATTTTTAAATAAGTATATTAAAAATATAAAATGTTTAAAATATATTAAATAAAAATCGTCCCACTTTACCAGTATTACACCAAAACCAGACAAACAGTAAATGTAAATGCAGTCAATACTTTAATACACATGCTTAACGTTTTCCTAATTACTCATAAAATGATTCTTCATTGCATAAAAAAGAGATTTTCTTACCCTCACAAGTAATCTCTGCTCCCCATCTGTGGAGCAGGAGTCCTATCGGCCGATGCCCAGCCAGGCAGTCCTTAAGGAGGACATAAATGGAGGACAGGGGTCTCTGAATAACACACACATCACTGGAGCCACAGACTGAGATCTGGAGGAGGTCATAGGAGAGAGAGAGACAGAGAGAGAGAGTGAGAGAGAAAGAGAGAGAGAGAGAGAGAGAGAGAGAGAGGAGGAGGAGTTTAACTGTAGCGGGGCTGTTTTCTTTAGGGAGGATTTTGGTGAACTATTGAGACAGTCATATAGAGGTCTGTCTTTCACTGAGAGGTCAATACATCGCAAACACTCGAGGAAAGAGTTCAGTTTCACACAGCGATGTTTTTCGGCCCTTGAGACTCTTATCTGATATGCACATGTGTGTGTTTGTTTGCTCTTCTTAGGGCACTTTCTAGAATTCTTCTGGCTCTGATGTGGTATTCGGTTTAGCCTAAACCTAAATGTAACATTGGGCTTTTTTATTTTAAAAATATCCCCTTGCAGCTGGAAGGACATCTGCCGCATAAAAAACATTTGCCGGAATAGTTCATGGTTCATTCCGCTGTGATAACCCCTGATAAATCAAGGGCTATGCTGAAGGAAAATAAATGAATGAATGAATCTCCCCCTGAGATAAAAAAAATAATGTTCTTTGGGTGTTAGTGTCAACATGCTAGTCTTAAAGTCGCCATGAATCAGAAGTTAAGATTTTCCTTTTTTCCTCTATCATGATGTACATCCACTTGAAACGGCACTGAAATTTGAAAAAAATTAAGGGGATGCATAATTTCGACCTTTGGGAACTGATTGGAAGATGGGTGTTACTTAAAAATGAAAGATCACCGATGGATGGATGGATGGATGGATGGATGGATGAAGGCAAAGTAGACCTCCTTAACCCCGCCCTAAAGCACTGATAGCCCTGCTCTAAAGGCATTCCATGTGAACGGTAGTGAAAAAAAGTAATTTCAATTGGCAGAGAAAAGGTCATGATGTTTGATTAAAGACTCTGAGTGCAAATTAGTTTTTCAACTACTGTATACAGATAAAATTAAGAAAGAATACATTTTGATTTCATTCTGACTTTAAAGGGCACCTATTTTACTTCTTTTACAAGATGTAAGATAAGCCTTTGATGTAACCAGAATGTGTCTCAGATTATTTATTATAGCCTTCAGAATCTGCCCATTTTGCTGTCTGAATACAGCCTGTGGCTTTAAATCCACATGAGCTGCTTCTCACCGCCCACCGCTCCGAGGTGTGTTTGCTTCTCATTCATAACGTCAGATAAACAGCAGTCAGTGACAGATACAGACTCGGATGAAGCTGAATTACAGCTCGTTAGTCTAAAATACCAAGTTTATTTCAAGTATTTGTGATTGAGTTTATTCAAGCCTTTCTGAAATGATGAGTCTCGCACTTCCCAGTGTGTTTCTGTTATTGTCATGTGGTTTTGTTTTGTTTCATTTATGTGCGTTGGTGTAGCGTTCTGGTGTAGCGTTTGTTTTGCTGATCAGCCTTGAGTAATTATCATGCCTATATCTGTGCACTGTTTTTTTGTATTTTTGTCAGTTCTTTATAGTTCATTGTACTCTGTGTTTTGTCAGGACGCTCTGTGTTTTTGGGTCTGCCAGCTGTTTCTGAAGAGCTACTCTGATCTGAACTTCACTGTTCCACGTATATTTTTTCTGTTTTTGATCTATTTTTGCACTGTCAGTCTTTCACCGGTCATTAAAGACCTTGCGATCCTTTTTGTAGTAGTTTTTTTCAAGAAACATGACAATGTCACACTTCGGTGGGCCTCAAAATAATTGGGGTTTGGACCCTGTTTTAACATCAGTAAATTTTAAAAAGAGAGGTTATATCACTCTAATATGACAGTGGACACACTATACCTACACACAGTTCTGTCCAAACAGCTTACAAATATATATCTGAATATATATAGGCATAGCTGAATAATAGTTCAGTATATGGAGTTGATACATCATAAACCTCAAACGTCATTGTTTCACATTTGAAGTTGATATCTCAAAAAAAAAAAATGCTTTTAGTAATATTTTGTTTTGGGCGCAGTACCAACCCTTTCTCCACCAAATCCCTTTTCTATTGACGACCATATAATTGCGCCTCCTATTTCTGTGTATGCTTTGAGGTGTGTAAACCATACTTTGTTTCATATTTTTGATGATATTTGTAAAGTAGAGATCAAATCCTAAAGTAGTATGAACAGTTTGGTGGTAAATGATCTGAATGTAGTCTCTAAAAACATAAATAAAATGTGGATTGCTGTAGCAAAGTAATCAGATTACAAATCTGATGAGTATCCCTGCAGCAAACTAACAAATAACTCAATAGCTCTGTAATATCTATCAAACATCAGTCACCAGATATGGTATTTAGACCTTTTAAACATTCAAATTATATATTAGATATTAGTATATTAGTATTGTATAGTAATTGCTTAATGTTTAGATTGTAATAGAATTTCTGTGTGAAGTTTGCATGTTCCCCCTTGTTGGCATGGGTTTCCTCTGAGTGCCCCAGCTTCCCCACACAGTCCAAAGACATACTATAGGTGAATTGAATAAACTAAATTGGCTGTAGTCAGCAGTGGAAAGAGTACTGAAAAATCATACTTAATCAAAAGCACCATTACTTGCCTAAAAAAATGTAGTGCAAGTAGAGTAAAAGGATCTATTGTAAATATTACTCAAAGTATGTAAAAAGACCTTTCAAAAGTACTAGAGTAGTGAGTAGTAAGTATTACGATGTGAAAAGCTGATGGATTTACATGTCATTTTTGGAACATTCTGTTGTGCATAGTTATTTCCCAGCAGACACACAACATCATAAGACATAATTAATATTAGGTTACATTTAGGTCATGATATTAGGTGACCAATGTCCAGCCAGCATTTGAGGACAGTGTTATTTTGATGTCCAAAAATGACGTTAAATGACGTTGATATTTGGTTGATTTTTAGGTTGTGTTGGAAAGTGACCAAAATCCAACGTTGAGCCAACATCTTAAACCAACGTCATTCAGTTTTGACGTCAAATACTGATCGAAGCCAGATACAAACATCAGATAGAAGCCATAGTGGTAAAATCCACACAACGTCAAGCTGTAACATGATTAGATATTAATATTTGCTTGATTTTAGGTTGGACGTTGGACATTGAGGTCGGCCTGAACCCAATTTTCCATTTCCAAACAAAATACAATGTTTCCATGACGTTGGGGTACACTGTCAATCAGACATCATGGTCCACATTTCAGTCATCATACAGTAAACGTTCATCATCTTCTTATCAGTGACATGTATCTAAACATTCTCTGTTTGAGATGGTCAATGCGTGTTAAGATTTTGGACGTCTTCTTGGACGCTTTTAATGTGTCCAAACAGTCTGCTGCAATTGTAAAGCGCCCGTGTCTTGAGGTAGTTCATTATGATGAGATTTACCTACTATGTGTGATTTGACTGGACAGGAATGACGGGATTGATTTTTCTAATCCCCATAGACAAGACAAAATAAAGTAGTGACTGCAGGTTGAAGGAAAGTAGAGAAGTAAAAGTACAGATACTGCTCTCAAAATGTACTCAAGGGAAAGTAAAGGTACACATTTTTAAAACTACTTAATAAATTACAATTTTTGAGAAAAACTACTCAATTACAGTTACTTTACACCACTGGCTGTAGTGTACTAGTGCGTGTGAATGCGAGAGTATATGAGTGTTTCTCAGTAATTGGTTGCGGCTGGAAGGGCATCCGCTGCGTAAAACATATGCTGGAATAGTTGGCGGTTCATTCCACTGTGGCGACCCCTGATATATAAGGGACTAAACCAAAGGAAAATGAATGAATAAATGAATGTAAATAAATGTAGTAAAACATGTATTCAGAAGTTTTAACTCTTTCCAACTATATATAGTTTATTATGATTAGATTAGAATTTATGTACAATTTAATGAAGTAAACTTAAGCATCCAAGGAGCAATTATCAGCCAGCTATCTTTCCACACTGTCAGAACACAATAAGTCTCAAGACTTATATATATAAACAGTTAAAGTGAGAATTATTAGCCCCCCTGTTTGTTTTTTTCCCCAATTTCTGTTTAACGGAGAGCAGATTTTTTTTCAACACATTTGTAAACCTAATAGTTGTAATAACTCCTTTCTAATAACTGATTTATTTTATCTTTGTCATGATGCCAGTAAATAATATTTGACTAGATATTTTTCAAGACACTTCTATACAGCTTAAAGTGACATTTAAAGGCTTAACTAGGTTAATTACGTTATTTAGGCAGGTTAGGATAATTAGGCAAGTTATTGTATAATGATGGTTTGTTCTGTAGACTATCGAAAACAAATATAGCTTGAAGGGGCTAATAATTTTGACCTTAAAATGCTTTTTTAAAATAAAAACTGCTTTTTATTCAAAGGGGGGCTGATAATATATATAATTCTGACTTCAACTGTGTATGTATGTGTGTGTATATATATATATATACTGTATACAGATAAAATTAAGAAAGAATACATTTTGATTTCATTCTGACTTTAAAGGGCACCTATTTTACTTCTTTTACAAGATGTAAGATAAGCCTTTGATGTAACCAGAATGTGTCTCAGATTATTTATTACAGCCTTCAGAATCTGTCCATTTTGAATACAGCCTGTGGCTTTAAATTAAATATATATATATATATATGTGTGTGTGTGTGTGTGTGTGTATCGTCACCTTAGAATTATAAGGTTCTATCAATATGATTTTGAGATATTGAGCTTCAAAGTTTTTGCAATCCATATAGCAAACAGGTTGCACATCCATGATGTGAATCTCCCGTTCCACCACATCCCAAAGTCACCACCACATCTCTATTGGATTGAAATCTGGTGAATTTGGAGGCCATTTGAGTACATTGAACTCATTGTCATGTTCAAGTAACCAGTCTGAGATGATTCACACTTTATGATATGCATGTTATCCTGCTGGAAGTAGCCATCAGAAGATGCGTAGACTGGGGTCATAAAGGGATAGACATTGTCAGCAACCATACTTAGGGAGGCTGTGGTTTTGACACAATTTTCAATTGGTACTAATGGGCT